CGGGGCGGCCCCCGTCGCGGATGCTGTAACCAGGACCATTCCCATAGAGGATGCTGGTATAGGCTCGCTTGTCCTTGGCTTTCTTGGGGGCCAGGCCTGATGTGGGGAAAGATATTGTCACCTCCCATCCCATTCAGGTACCCTCTCCCCAGCTCCCTATGGAGCTCAGCCTATGGTGGGACAAAAGGGGGAGGTGGGAACAGAGATGCTTGTCGCCCCTCTCTGAGACCCACCGAAGATGGAGGTGCCACGCAGTGTGTTGCCCCCAAAGGTGAAGACGTGGGAGTGATCAGCTGTCACTACAGTCAAGGTGTCAGAACGGGAGGGGAGCTCGCCTGCCCGTGCCACCGCCCGGTCCAGCATGACGGCCTTAAAAAAAAATTGGCCCGGCCGCTGTGGTGGCCGTGGTCGATCCTGCCACCTGCATGGTGAACGTGGCTGTCAACCTTTCCCTCATCCCCTGGGGTGCCCACCTGGTCCCAGGACCCACATCCCACCCCATTTCCAGCCACACTGCCCCCCTGGGGCTACTCATCTTCCACGAAGAGGAAGAAGCCATTGGGGTTCCTGCGCAGGATGCGAATGGCCTTTTCTGTCATCTCCACAATGGAGGGGTCCGTGGAAGCATTACGGTTCAGCTCGTACTTCATGTCCTTGGGCTCAAAGAGGCCTAGGGAAACGGGACGTGTGTGTCCATGCCAGGACTGCTTCGTGCCCCCACCAGCACCCCCAGAACAGGGGGGAAGAGGAGGAGACGTAGCTGGTGGTGCAGGCAGTGATGCTCTTACCCATCAGGTGGCTCACAGAGTCATCCTCGACAGCATCCAGGCCCTTCTTGTCCCAGACGTATCGGGCACCCTGCCAGCGAGAACAAAGATGGTGCCAACAGCACACGCCCAGTGCCCAATGCCACCTGCCGTCCGCCCCGGCGCGGTACCTGCCTGGCGCTCAGCCATTCGGCAATCAAGTCAAGGCCGTCCTTCCTGGTGCCATTCTGAGCTGGGTCCTCCGGGTATTCAGGATCCGGTGTCCGCTTGGGAGTCATGTACATCCTCCCGCCACCCAGGATCACCTGCCGGGGAACTCAGCAGACCTGCCCAACATTCCTGGCGTTCCCTGCCTCCCACGCCCACTCCCCAGCTCACGTTGATGTCCGTGTTGTGCACCAGCTGGTAGGCGATGTCCTTGCAGCCGTCCTGCAAAGCCTCCTTGGGCATGTTGGCGTCGGCGTACCAGCTCCGGCTGGGCGAGTGGGCATAGGCTGCCCCTGGAGACGCGTGCTGAACCCGCGTGGTCGTCACGATGCCCACTGACTTGCCTGCAGTGAGGGCAAGGGCTTACAGAGAGCCTCTCCAGCCCCACACGGCAGGGGATGGGATGGC